AAGTGTGAAAACATGTGATATATGTTTTACAATAAGAAAACTTATTGCTTGTTACTAATTATTAACTCAATAGAACGATTAGGTGCCCTAAAAGTTAATTAACTGCACAAAAATTCAATTCATGAAAGTGGTCAATCAAACACAAATCAAATTCAAGGATTCTAGTTTAAACAAAAACATAATCACTAGAATAGAATCACAAATCAAACTTCAAATCATATGCTTCAAGTCAAGCAATCAACATGTTTTGAACAAGAACTAGAAACTAGGGTTTCTTAGCCACACATGGCTAAGAACAAATCAAACAAGAATAAAGATGGAATTGGGATGTTTAATCCTTACAAAAATGAAATCCAAATGTTTGCAATGATTAAGTCTTCTCAAAAGCTCCAAGAATTCTCCCAAAATTGCCCTAGATCGCCAGAAACTACTCCCAAAACTGTTCTCCCCTTCAAAATGACGTCTCCTGCTCTTTTATTAAAGTTCACGTGACATGCCATGAGGTCATGCGTTTTTAGCATGGCCATGCCTTTTGCCCATGTGTTTTTTTTTTGGCATGGCCATTTATCTTGACCATGTGTTTTTTGGCATGGCCCATGCTTTTTGCTAAAATTCCAAAGAGTCTTCACTATTGGCTCCATCTTCATGTTTTCTGCCATGGAATGACCGGTTCATCTTCTCTTCATGTTCCAAAGCTCTACGCTCCAAGCATCCAAGCATCCATGCATCCAAGATCCACGTTCCATGCTCCATAATGCCTGCAAAATAAATCAAAAATAGTGAATTACCAGGCATTCTTAATGAAATATGTAATTGTCCTAATAATCAACTAAATGCAAGAATTATGAAGTAGAATGCTATAAAAAGACGGAAATAAACATGCAAAATAGGTGCATAAAATGCACCTATCACACGATGTGGCAATGGTTAAGCGGATCACATATTTTTAGGCCATTACAACATGGCCAAGGAAGACCACGGTGTGGCAGCTGATCAGGCACAAGCTCATGACTCTTTTAGGGTTCTCTTCGTATTTAAACCCCTATAAACCCATTTTAGGGTTCATTATCAGCCTTCAAGCCCCATGAGGATTCAAATTTTAGAAGAGACCTTGTGTCATGACATGGTGCTAGTATGCCACGACGTGGCAATGGTTCAGCGCATCACATATTATTAGGCCACCACAACATGGCCATGGAAGACCACGGTGTGGCAGCTGATCAGGCACAACCTCATGACTCTTTTAGGGTTCTCTTCGTATTTAAACCCCTATAAACCCATGAAAGGTCTTTGGTGGGTTATAAACTAGTTTTATATTGATCAAAATATTCAAGTCTTCCATTGTTGAATCTCTTGTTTTGAAACTTATTTTGAATTAAAAACCCCAACAGAAGGAAGAGTGATCTTAGAATTAGGTTTACCCCCGTATCCAACTTCTTCAGGAAGAAGTCACACATGTGACTAAAACATTAAAAAAGAAAAAGAATCTATTAATCTAAGAACAAACTCAAAACAGGGAGAGAGAAAACACACAATTTGTTATATTAGCCAACAGGTTTAGCTTCGATTCACATCCTCTTTTTTATCATCCCCGTTTAAGCACCAATCATATTTGGGAAATTAGGAAGTTGGAGGTGTATTAGTGAATCTTCATGTAAAATTAATGCAATTAAAGAAGATGTAATTGTTCAAAACCCAAAAAAAGACAATTAAAATTAATGCAATTAACCGAAATTGGTGTTCAGCTCCTTGTTCAATGCAACCATTTTGAGATGTACCAAAACTTCATTATAACGAAAAGGAACACAAAAAACGAAAACATATTCGAGTTAGAATCTGATTGAGACGATGGGGGTGGAGAGGTCGATTGGTAGGCAACACAAAATCAAAGAAGCAATGAAGAGGAAAATATGTTGTAGACATTACCTTAGGGCAATTTGGAGATCCAAATTTAATATATATAATAATTACCGATTAATTTATCTTTGATTTAAATAAATTGATACTTAGGATTGTCTTTCTGTCGAAGGAGATGTTCGCTTCTACACCACTTTGTCGTCGACAAAAATTTGAGGGTCTGTTGAACGGATGCATTGGAGAGTAACAACGGTGATGGAATCCGACGAAAAACCTCCAAGAATGAGAGCAAAACAGAATCTGTCGGAGATTCGAGGATTAGAATAGCTAGAGAAGGATTCTTCGGTGACGCAAAATTGTGGAGGAGATTGTCATCCCCAACAAAAAATCAGGCGGAGAAAATAAAAGTTCACCATAACCTAGTAAAAGAAACATACGAAGCACAATTGAAAAGCAAACACGTAGCTAGCTGTAAAGTGAAGCGAAGGAAAACCAACTGAAATCGAGCCAAGCCTCTTGATATCGACATTGTTCAAAAGCCGCATGCGCACATCCACATTTAATTTGTATAATAATGTTGTATATTGGAAAACTGAATAGTGATCGGAATGTTTTCTTAGTTTATTGTTTAGGTTAAGGGGAGTGGTAACACTCATAGCATCTTGCTACATTAGCTTTTTGAATGTCACCTCATTTTTTTTCCATTTAGCACCTAATTTTAGCATTTGGTAGGAAGTGGTAACACCCCTACCACTCCATTTTTTTATAATTTAATTAAATCGATTTATTTCAATACACAAACATTTTTCATGCATAATATTAATCAAATTTTATTTTTTTAAACCACAAACAATTAATATAATATAAATCAATTACATGAAAATAAATATAAAATTTACGTGCATGGTCTTTTTGGTAATTTCAAAAACTTGGTTTATGAGAGGAATTAAGATAGAGGGTGCGATGTGTAAGTATGAGATTTTTGGAAGTCTATTTCTATCAAATTCATATTTTATGTCTTCTTCATCCCAGCAACTAGTTGCAGGGATAGTCTCCCATTTTCCATTTTCGAGCTTAGAAATTGCGATTTTTTGTTTCGAAAGCAAGTGAATAACTCAATTTGTGGAGAGGAGATTGAGGGAGGCAACAACATAAGGTGAATCCTGAAAAAAATATATAGAAAAAGGAAATAACCAATCAATTATCTCTTATCTTGCTAGCTTCTTAACGAGTTCTTCCTAACGCGTCCTTTAGCGAGCTGTAGGGGATGGTGTAGCATTTCATAGCGAACCTTTTGGCGAGAGGGGTCGCGAGGCCACTCCCTCAAGCCTTATAGGCTCATGAAAAGTCGACTAAAGAGGCTGATACGAAGGCCTAATAAAAATCAAATTTGTGTCCTTGAAAAGTCCACTAATATTAAGCTAAATAACGAATTAGATTAGAGTGTCCATAACGTGGCTGTTATTATAGACTTCATTTGTATTGCTGGTGTAATGCCAACAGATTGTTTAATTTTCCAAAACAATTATCATTGTTTTTCCAACAATAACAAATTGGACTTCTCGTTTCATTTGCAAATTCAAAAGAATTTACTTTGTAGATTTTCAAATGTAACCTATATAATTCAATCCTCGAAATACAATCTTGAGCAAATTTCAAATTTCTGTTAAAGGCAGAGGATTAATACCTTAAAAACCATTATTTATACATATCCGTTTCGATTTAACCCTAATATTTTTATTTGTTACTTATTTGCCATTAATTGTGTTGACTAGTTATGAAAAGTCAATGGTAGACGGTGTCGTCGGTTTAACAGGTTACCCTAACCTTTTACATACCCAAAATCCACTTTTTCCCCAAAACCTCTCCTTCACTCGGTTTAACAAGCGTTCTTCCTCACACATCACGTCTTCTTCTTTTCCATGGCTTCGTCTTCAACAACTTCTATCAGCAAACCGATTTATCGCACTAAGTGTGATTGTGGTGATCAACTGCAATACTCAGTTTCAAGAACTGATAAAAACCCAGGAAGAAAGTTCAAGGCATGCCCTAACTATAAGGTAAAATTGAGGGATTTTGTTTTCCCATTTTGTTATCTTTCAAAAGTTAGTAAATGAAGCTTTTGTTGGCAGGGTACCAAAAAAGGGTGTAAATATTTCAAGTGGCTTGACACGGAAGAGATGGAGTTTTATGCTAATGAAAGGGAGCCCTATAACGAAGTTGTTGCTAGTGGTGTTCTGCAGGTGATCAAGTTGTTGAAGTTTGTGTTGGTGATGTTAGTGGTTATTGGAGTAATTTTGTTAATTGACATTGTATTTTAAGAACCAGTTGGTTAGGGCAGTTGTAAGTTAAGGTTGTTGTAGGTTTGTTATTTTGGTTAGGGCAGGTGTTTAATGTAGTTATGGTAATGTTTGATGGAGAAGTGTATTGACAGTAATCCAATCTTATTTATGTCCCTGTGATTTGGTAATTGCATTATAGTGATTCATTACAATGCAGTTATGGTAATGTACTAAATCTTGTGTAAGCAAGTGAAATATAGTAGAACTTGGTAAAACTTGGTAATAACTGAATGTACTAAAACAAGGAAGTAAAGGACATTAACTGGAATGACAATTAACATATGATTGTAAGCAGGTGATCACTGTAGTTATGGTAATGTTTGATGGAGAAGTGTATTGATAGTAATCCAATCTTATTTATGTCCCTGTGATTTGGTAATTGCATTATAGTGATTCATTACAATGTAGTTATGGTAATGTACTAAATCTTGTGTAAGCAAGTGAAATGTAGTAGAACTTGGTAAAACTTGGTAATAACTGAATGTACTAAAACAAGGAAGTAAAGGACATTAACTGGAATGACAATTAACATATGATTGTAAGCAAGTGAAATGACAAGCAAAGTGAAATGACATTAAGTTCAAATACTTGCATTCATAATAACATAAAAGGGGGTATCACAATCAGTACCAAACAACCAATTGCCCAACAATGTTTTAATGGCCATTAACTACCAATGTTCAAAAAGGCCTAATTGAATACTACTAGATGCTGATATACAATTGGATGGTTGTTACCAAAAGCTGATGAAATGTTAACAAAAAGGGCAAGCAAAATACATAGTGCCCATGATACCCCCTCCTAAATAGTCCTACTCCAAATTAACTGGTTTCTTAATACTAGAACCCCTTCCATCCTTATCATAAACTGCTTTCTTCAGCTTGATCTTCACAATTCTCTCAGAAATCTTCCTTTTCCTAGGCCTCCCAACAACTTGTGTATCTTCAATGAAGTCAATATTCCCATCATCTTCACCAACCCAAGCATTAGCATCTAAACCTTGTATAGCAACTTCTTGCACTGGTGGCACAATCTCATTAACATCTACACCCTGTAAGACATGATGTATTTAAATACCCTATGTTAATCACATATTAGTTTTAAGAAATTTAAAATAAAGGTTTCCATACCATTTCCAAGTTTTCTTCAAGCAAGTTATCTTCAATCTCATTAACATCCTCTTCTAAGTCTGCTTCCAAGTGATCTTCAATCTCATTAGCATCTACACCCTGTAAGACATGATCTAGTTAATTACCTTATGTAAATCACATATTAGTTTTAAGAAATTTAAAGTAAAGGTTTCCATACCATTTCCAAGTTTTCTTCAAGCAAGTTATCTTCAATCTCATTAACATCCTCTTCAATCTCATTAGCATCTACACCCTGTAAGACATGATCTAGTTAATTACCTTATGTAAATCACATATTAGTTTTAAGAAATTTAAAGTAAAGGTTTCCATACCATTTCCAAGTTTTCTTCAAGCAAGTTATCTTCAATCTCATTAACATCCTCTTCAATCTCATTAGCATCTACACCCTGTAAGACATGATCTAGTTAATTACCTTATGTAAATCACATATTAGTTTTAAGAAATTTAAAGTAAAGGTTTCCATACCATTTCCAAGTTTTCTTCAAGCAAGTTATCTTCAATCTCATTAACATCCTCTTCAATCTCATTAGCATCTACACCCTGTAAGACATGATCTAGTTAATTACCTTATGTAAATCACATATTAGTTTTAAGAAATTTAAAGTAAAGGTTTCCATACCATTTCCAAGTTTTCCATAGCCTGTTCAATCTCATGAGGTTCATAACCACATTTTTGCAACAATACATCAATTTCATCAGAAATAGCATCTGCATCATTCACAATTTTGGGTGCAGTTTCCTGTACAGTTTCCTGTACAGTTCCATTTTCTTCTTGCACAGTTGCATCGTTTGCAGTTTCAACCCCACCTTGGCCATCCTGGTTTGAGGATCCTTCTCCAGCCTTCTTTATCTTCTTCTTTCTTTTCACTACAAGCTTAACTGCCTTTTGTTTTGAAGTTCCCTCTCCATCCTTGTTTGTTATACCATTTCCACCCCTCCTTGGCCTTCCTGGTTTTCTAGGTGGCACATACTCCTTCATCACTCGCTCATTCTTACAGGATTTCAAGTTATGTCCGAATTGTAAACATTTGCTACACCTAACAGTCCTACAAACTCTAGCTCTAACAGTTGGGAACTTGGAATCATTGACCTCAGACACATGCCTTCTTCTCTTGGTTTTTGGCCTACCAGGCATTCTCCTTGTCAAAGGAGGTAATGGCTTTATATAGTCAGTGGGTGCCCACAGGTTGCTTCCATTCACTGGTGATATATTTGTGGTATATGCAGCTATAAATTTCTCTTTTTGGAACCAAATGCTTAGAAAATCAGTTGGATTCATGTGAGTGTAGTTTATTGCTGCTTGACCATGCACACATGGTATTCCAGATATCTCCCATAGTCTACATGTGCAATAGTGTTGTTCCAAATCCATTTTGTAAGCTGTATACCCATACCTCGTCTCAAATACAGACCCCCCAGTTGCTATAACTTTCCAGTTCCTATAAATACAAATTAAAAATAACAATTTCATGTTAACTATACAACACAATTTAATGGTAAGTAGTAACAAGTTTATGTAAGAATTTACCTCATCTCTTTTTCAAACTCCTTCATTTTCTCTATGATAGCTGGACACGATTCAGTTCTCCAAGTAGAAGCTTTATCAGCCAAATAATAAAACCTAGCCATGACATAGATTCTAATTTCCTCTAACATTGTGAGAAGTGGTTTTTCCCTAATATTTATGATCATGGAGTTAAAGGACTCAGAAACCCCATTTTCCACTGCCTCACATGCATACCCTAGTCCAAAAAATGCCCTACACCATGATTGTGGATTCTTAGACATCAACCAATCATATCCATTTGAAGTGATTTTCTTAATTTTTTCCATGTTAGACACAAAATCCCCTTCATGTGAACTAGTTGCAGCAGCCCAGAATAAGTTTTTCAACTCTAAACCTGTATGCCTCTTCCTGAAGTTGGCATAAATGTGTCGTGCACACTGCCTGTGTTCAACATGTGGAAGGATAGCTTTCACAGATTCTAGAAGTCCCTGAAATAAGTAAATTCAACATTAATATGGGTTAGACAATATAAATGAATACATAAAAAAATTTGTAGTATTTATGTTTACCTTGTGTTGATCTGAAATAACAACTAGACCCCTTCCATCCTCAACACCCAAGTCATCAACCAACAACTGTAAAAACCAAGTCCAATTTTCTTTGTTCTCTACATTTACTACAGCCCATGCAATTGGATACACGTGGTTGTTAGCATCTCTTCCAATAGCAGTCAAAATCTCCCCTTTGATTTGTCCCTTTAGGAAACATCCATCTAAGCCAATCACACGTCTGCACCCTGTATTCCATCCATCTTTCAATGCCTTAAAACATACATAAAAACGTTCAAAATAATTCACCCCATCTGGATTTACAGAAACTCCTACTTTGCATGTACTTCCAGGGTTAGATCTAAGGATTTCGTTGGCATAATCCCATATCTTAGCATAGTGTTCCTCCAGTTTACCTTCTATCATCTCCCTTGCCCTTACCCTTGCTCTATGACATTGCCCCTTTGACACTTTCACTGAATATTTTGTAAGGACATCCTCCATCATCTCAGGTAGTGTCATTTTGGGCTTCCTAATTATGTCCTTAATGTAGTGTTTTGCTAACCAATTACAACTAACCAAATGTCCAAAATTATAATTCCTTGCACAAAGATGTGTTTCAACCATAGATTTTATCTGAAAAGTACGTTCATTATACTTCCACGAAGCATGGATCCTAAAAGGACATGGTTTTTTTGCATTTTTTTTCCCACACCTAACAATTACCCTGCTTTTATCACTTTTCATGAACCAAAGTTGGTATCCATTAGCTACAGCATAGTTAGTGAGTGCAAACCTTAACTGAGCAGGAGACTCATATAACTCACCAACTGTAGGCTTCATTTGGTTCCACTTGACGGTAGGATCGTGCACCCTGAACTCGACACCCACTTCCAAGCCATTTTCATCTTCAAGGTGTTCATGCTCAAGCTCTTCCTGGTGAATGTCTTCAACATCAGCTTCATCGTCCCCTTCAAACTGATTATTCTTTAACATTTTATCATCACATAAAATGTTAAGAAAAGGGTCGTCACACAAGTTAGATGTAGGATTGAAGTTATCTGGTTCAACATCCAACAATCCTAAGTCAAGACGATCATCATCAGACTCTTCTTCATCACGTACGTATCTCAACTTTGTCTTCTTTGTCGCCTTTGATTCTTTACTTTTCATTCTCCGTGATGATTCTGCCATCGAACCCTTGAAAACCTTCAGAAACCCTCTTGCAAAACCCTCTTTTGATGATGATGTTATCTGATAAGGGATACCCCTTTGTTAGTCAGACATGAGGGACAAAGGTGGTGGCTACTATGCACGTTCCCAAGAATTAGTAATCAAGTGAAGAGATGCAACCGGCAAGGAGGTGATTACCGGTTGTTAACCGGGTAAGGTGTAATAAATGGAACGTCATTTCATTAACGGTGGCAAATAAGTAACAAATAAAAATGATAGGGTTAAATCGAAACGGATATGTATAAATAATGGTTTTTAAGGTATTAACCCAAAGGCAGATCATTTCCCCTGTTTCTTTTAACAATTACACTATCTTTTGATGACATTTTGTTATTTTTATTGTAGGGCTTAAAGAAAAATCAAAACAAAAATCAGAAAATCATAATCACAAATATCCAATTAAAGTTATCCACATCATGCTTCATGCATCTGGGGCCCTGTGAATACGAGTGAAGTGGATAGAATCACAGAGATTTGAAGTTTGATTTTAACTGATCGAAGAACACTCACAAAGAGATGATTGTTGCAACAGGAATTGGAGCATTTCCCAGATCAGTTCCGCTTCTTCCCCATAACAAATTCGGAGCCCCACATTCAATTTCAAATCCTAGAAACAGAATCCGTTTTCCAGAAAGTAAATCAAGCAATTTCATCCCTACCAACCCTCCTTTCTTCTCCATCAAGGCCGCTGCGTCTTCTTCGTCTTCTTCAGGTTTAATTACCCCAATTTCATACTTTGATCATTGTATCTTTCTTCTCCATAATCTTCTTACTCTGTGAAATCATAGATTTTGTATCAGATTACGCTGAAGAGCCTGCTACGAATGTCAAATTTCCGACATTGTTGAATCTTCCTGGTTGCTCGAGCTCGCTTTCTTTGATTGGAACAGGTTCATGCCCTAATTCTGAGTTTTTGCAAATATTCAACTCTCACTCTCACTCTCTCTTAAATTTTAATCTCTCTAGGGTTTCGAGAAAAGGTTTTTGCGATAATCGGAGTTAAGGTGTACGCCGCAGGGCTATACATAAACCCTAAAATCATCGATAAGTTAGACGCATGGAAAGGACGAACATCAGCTCAAATCCAAGACGATTCTTCTTTATTCGACTTAATCTATCAAGGTAAATCACAGTTTTCTTACGTGAACTTTTGTGAAAATCATAAAATACTTACAGGATGAAGGATCTCCATGAAATGAAGCTCCATTAGAGAAATCGCTACAGATCGTTCTTGTCAGAGACGTCGACGGAAAAACCTTCTGGGACGCCTTGAACGACGCCATTTCGCCCAGAATCAAATCACCAAACGCCGTCGATGAAACCGCTCTCTCCGATTTCCGTGGTATCTTTCAAAATCGGCCATTGAAGAAAGGAACCTTCATCTTCTTAACCTGGCTCGATTCCTCCAAAATTCTGGTTCGTTTCTACTTCTATTTTATGAAAAATCGTTAATATGGATTATAATTCATCAACTTATTGTATAAAATGGCGCCATGAACAGATCCATTTATCAAATGAAGGCATTCCATCGACTTCAGAAGCTACAATCGAATCAGAAAACGTGACACGATCTCTTTTTGATGTGTTCTTTGGACGTGACCCTGTGTCTCCTTCCTTAAAAGCTTCAATTAGCAATGGCTTAGCTTCGATACTTATATAATCACGAAAAAAAATTACATCTTTATGTTTTCAAACTCTTCATTTATGAACATGTAATTTGATCTGTTTTAATCTTTTCTAGCATCTTTACAACTTCAGACATATTTGGTCTTTTAGATGGCTCAGTTTCTAAACACATTAACGCTATATTAAATACATGGTTAATTTCATCCACATGATAACACTCTAATCTTTCATCAAGAACATATTCTTCTTTATTGTCTTCAACAACTGTTTTAACCTGTTACAACATCATACTTTGCAATTAATACATAACTCAAAAGTCAAACCTCTAGCAAAAAGGTCAAAGCTTTGACTTTTAAAGACTTACCCACGTCACAAGGCGGGTCCCCTCCTCGATAAATGATTCATCCGTAGGTTTTCTCCCGGTTAAAAGCTCAAGTAAAACAACACCAAAACTATATACATCCCCTTTTGTTGTCGCTCTTCCCGTATCAAAATACTCTGAAAACAAACAATTTATACAGATAAATAAGATTGTGTCTAGCCAATTATTGTGTACAAACCATTTATACAGACAGATAAGACTGTGTCTAGCCAATTATTGCGTGCAAACCATTTATCTGAAAACAAACAATTTATACAGACAAATAAGACTGTGTCTAGCCAATTATTGCGTACAAACCATTTATACAGACAGATAAGACTGTGTCTAGCCAATTATTGCGTACAAACCATTTATACAGACATATAAGACTATGTCTAGCAAATTATTGCGTATAAACCATTTATACAGACATATAAGACTGTGTCTAACCAATTATTGCGTACAAACCATTTATACAGACAGATAAGACTGTGTCTAGCCAATGATTGTGTTTGAAACCATATAGGTAAATGTTATATATAGACTGATGAGATCGTGTCTAGCTGATGTATGAAACATGTGGAGACAGATGATTATGATTTGTGATGTGGAGATAAATGAAACAGTGTCTGACAGATGTATGAAACATGTGGAGACAGATGAGACAGGGTCTAGTTGATATATGGAACGCTAACAATGACAATAAAGTTTTTATTATGGAGTAGTGAGGTCATACCGGGGGCTAAGTAACCGAAAGTACCGGCTACTAAAGTGGACACGTGGGTCTTGTCTTGATCCATCAATGTGGCTAACCCAAAATCAGAAACCCTAGCTTCCATGTTTTCATCCAACAAAATATTGCTTGATTTGATGTCTCTATGAATGATATGAGGGATACAATCATGATGAAGATATGATATTCCCCTTGCAGCACCTAATGCAATCTTGTATCTTGCATCCCAATCTAGAACAATCATCTTCTCCATTGTTCTTCCTGTGATAACGTAAACAATTTGACTTTAAAGTCAAAATTATAAAACTTCAAAAGTCAAAGCTGTAGAAAATCGTACCATGAAGAACAACGTCCAAGCTTCCATTAGCCATTAACTCGTAGATGAGGAGATTGAAATTGGGGGCGCTGTAATAACCATAAAGAGTAACGATATTACGATGCTTTATATCTCCCATTGCTTCCAATTCTCTCTCAAATCCTCGATCGTGTTCTGCTGTTTCTTTTCGTAGCTTTTTCACAGCAAAAGACGTTGAATCGTTAATTATTAATTTGTAAACCATTCCGTAACCTCCGGATCCGATTCGATCCTTGTTGGTGAGTTTCATCGTCTTCTTCAAGAACACATTCGATTTTAGGGTTTTTATCTTAGCTGATCTGAACAGTACCAGCTTTCCACCTGTGAAATTAGGTCAAAATCGAAACAGAAAAAAAATCAACAGAAACAGAAGAAAAACATACCAGAAAAGGTGTCTTGAATGACGAACTGTTTTTTCTGCCATCGGCGATAGCAGAGGACAGCTATGGTGATCTTTGAGATGATGAAAGCTAACACACAGATGGTGATGTATAAGCCCAGAAACCGAGTGCTGTTAGTCATGGCGTCCTGAAAGAAAGGAAGATGAAAATGAATGATGAATTTGAGATTCGTACACCCACTGAATGTCGATGAATCATGAATGAGACTATGAGATGATGTGTAAGGAAATTAGGCGACTAGCATGTCTTTAAAGTGTCGCTTTACATATCACTTTTCACATGCAGATTAAAATATTATGTAGACATCAATTTCTTTGACTTTTGTCAATTGTTGCAAATGGTATGTTGTAAAGGAGTGAGACCAGACAAATTAAACTACAGTTCAGTGTTTAAAAATAATAAGCATGAAAGGTTCATAGTATTGTCATATTATCATTTGTTATGTTGTATTATTGATATATAAAACTTTATATGATATAAAGTTATTCATACTATTTATAAACATCTTAAAGACTTATCAATAGATATATATTTATTACTTTATTGAACTTATCAGTTATAATAAAATTCATTAACACAAAAAAAAAAAAAGGATCACTTTTATATTTATTTTAAGTGGGTTTTCATGCGGATATTGATTATTTATAAAGTTAAAACAAAATTTTATATAAATTTTTTATAAACCGTACACAGTGTTGTTATTTTGAACATACGATGTCTTTCTATAAAAACATTTATTTTCCACTATGTATTTACCGCTAACAGTTTTGGGATGTGCGGATGGTGCGGTAAATCTATTTTAATAGTATATTATTAAAAATTTTGAAGACAAAAATAAGAATACATTGATTAGGTTACATGATGCTAATTTCATTATGTTTAATTAACAATAAAAATCATGTTGTTAAACAATATGAATACATTTACATATCAATTGTACTAAAGTCTAAACTAAACTTAATTATAAAAATACTTTTGGATTTTAGCTTTTAGGGGCAAATTAAGTATAAGCCAATAAAAGAGAATATTAGCATTACAAACATATGTTTTATGTGGTTTTCGAGTTTTAGCAAAGAAAAAGAAAAGATTGAAAGAAAGTAAAAAGAGAAAAAAGAAGAGAAGGGAAAGTGTAAGAAAATTGTATTTTGTGTTTTAGAGTTAGAAAGAAGTTAAAAGTAAGAATTAAACATTTTGTTTTTTTTCTTTCCAAAGCCTTCCAAATTGAAATGAAAGTTAGGGAAAGTTTTCTTTCCATTTCATTTCTTTCGGCTTCCTTCTTTTACGAAAACCTAAGAACACCAACTCTCCTTTCTTTCTTATTTCTATCAATTTCTGAGAACCTTTCAACAACTCAATTGTGTAGCAAAAGTGATTTTGCAGGAATTTCGTCGTGATATTTATGATTATTTTGTGAAAAATGATTGCAAACCACATATGATTATAACTGTATTTGTCTTTTTTTTTTTACTTATTGCAAAATTAACAACCCAATATTTAATTTAAATATTGCGTAAAAAATCATAGCTCATATCAAATTCCAATAAGCCTTGTTATTTGCTATATAACAAATTCATAAGAACAAATTTGTTCTTACTTTTTTTTTTTTTAAAAGGTAACTTCCAGTGCTAGTTTTCGCGTACCGACTAATTTTCGTCACAAACATGAGGATATGTTTCATACCCTGGAATCACATAAGATGAACCCATAACCACAAAGGCGGAGTAATGTTAGAATCTGAACATTGATAAATTGGATTTGATCTTAATTTAGGAAAGCTGTTATTTAGAATTTACATTTCAAACAATTACCAAATTCTTTTATTTAAATATTTATTAACTTGTCATTTAAAATAATCATAGAAAATAAATCTTATCCACTAACATCAGAAAAATAGAAGAGTTATTTATTATTAAATAAAAACTCAATATTTATGCATATAATATTTTTCTGAACAAAAAACATTTAAAATTAGATAAAGAAAAGAAAGAATAATAGTACAATGCCTAACTTTCTACCAAAAAAGGAAAGGGGATTGGAGGCACGTGAAAAGCTTCCAGAAAAGGAAGTGTGATTGGACGGACACATGTGAAAAGCTTATTGCTTACACACATACAACAGCTGTTGTCTTTGGTAGAAGTTGGGTGGATATTTATATTTGCAGCAAGATTCATGGGCTTTTTGGTCAATCCACTTAATTCCATCAACTCAATTAAAATTAATTGTTATTTCCAACCAATTGGATTAAACGGATCAGTTCAATGTTCAATCAATTTATTTAATTTAAAAAAACTAGATTAGAGTTGAAGCTGCTGATTTGATATGTAATCGGCTAATCTATTTGAATTTATTTTTTTAATAATTTATTTAATTTTAAAAACTAAAAATGAAAGAACAAAATGAAAGTAAAACTAAAAAGTAAATTATAGAAATGATTTTTGTGTTTTCCAAAATCCTATAGGTGTAGTCCACGAGATTGATTTATTGCAGTTTTAGTCCCTATTTTATATTCTTGTTACATCTTTAGTCCTGTAGGCTAACCACCATTAAGATTGCACATCACATTAAGGTATTTTGGTCATTCTATATCTCCTTATTGATCCTTTTTTTTTTTTTTTTTTTTTCTTTTTCCTTCATCGTTCATCATGTTACTCTTCTTTGATAACATAAAGGATGAATAACACACAAACACCAAAAACAACATAAATACATAGAATTCACACAACATTGGGAACACACATGAATACCTACAACATTGGGAAAATGCAACAATTTTGGCAATACATGAACTAACTATATAAATACCAATTGCCAACTAGCAATAAATTAACTAAACATACCATGACCATGGGATAAAAGCATGCTAATTGGTAATCCATGAACTAAGAATATACATATTATAACCAAGACAATTTTTGTGAAATCATAAATTAAACGTAAATATATCACCTAACCATGGCAATTTGCAATAAAATCAAACCACAACAATGAGCATTACAATAACATAGCCACTTTATATAACATTTCATTAACCAAAACAATAATCATGCATTTTCATTTAAAAGTTACATAACATAAGACATAGCTAGTAAACCCTTAAACCATTGTAAACTTAACCTACATACCATTAACAAAGTACAATAAACAACCAAGTTAAAACAAAAGTATCAAACATAAGCAATCTTCA